AACTTTTGCCCCACTACCTGCCGCACCATGGGGCCGCACCGGGGCTCCCCTTTCCCACGGTCCGCGGCAAGCAGGTGCCGGGCTCCCCGCCACGCGACCAGGAAACTGCACCGGATCCCAGGCTGCTCCCAGCACCACCGCTGCCTCCCTGCTGGGCTCAGCCCTCCGCACCCGCAACCGCCCTCTAGCAGCGGCCACAAGCTCTAGCCTACCACTCGGCAACCCTCAGCTGCCGTCAGAGGGGAGGGGCCCTGGGCGAGTGACATCATGGGTGGGAGGGAGAAGGGGGCTCCCCAGTCCTGGAGGCGCCTGCGCAGTGGAATGATCTGGTAGAGGTGAGTGGGGCAGCTGCTGCTCACAGCACCGCCCCTACCCTCGTGCCTCCGCCACTGACCTTAGTGAGTGACTGTCCCTGCCACTTCCCCCGGGAAGTCGCTTCTCCCCACACTGCCAAAAGTACCTTAAAACCTTCTGGAGGAAAGGTTACCCCATGCAAAGTTTGGGTGCGGTAGCTCTTATAATGTCCAAGTTATTAGCACACAAACATTCTCCTTTATATATTAGATAAGAAAAATACTGCAGAAGTTTCCTAAATAGCATAGAAATTAATTTTTATAAATATAGATTAAAGTTATTTACATATTTTATATTATTTTTATGTGAGCGTACACATCTGAGTGAGCATTTCCACTAAAAGGGCTGCTAAATCTCTAAGCCATATTTTTAGTCAGACTGTTAGTTAGTGCATTCCCATGGCATGTTTTATAATAGACATGACCTTTAGAAGTTAGGCTCTCCTTTAAAGAGTTCAGTATTGTTACACATTTTAGCTCTTACTTCTGTAATGTAAAAGGATTAATTGACAAGACTGTAGTCTAATATATTGAAACAATGAACTGAATATAAATTTTCTTGAGTCAGTCATTTAAAACTCTTCAGTGAATGACTAGAGATATTTTATGTAGCTTATGAGCACAACAAGAATGGTAGATAAAAGGCACACAGCAAGCCCTGAATATTAAGGTAAGCACATGACTAATAAGAGGAATGTCATTCTTACATGTGAGTAACAGTAAGAGTAGCAGTGAAGAATCTCTCTCAACATATAAGTGCAACTCAATACCTTTTCCCCCACAAAATGAATGCTTCTTCTGTGATTTCATTGTAATGCTACTTAAGATTATATCTTCCACTTTCTCTTTAGACTGCACTGCATCCCAGTGAAAAATTACAAAACAGTGTTATTTCTAATGTGTGTATGTATAACAGAAATAGTTATAGCTGCCAAATATTTCTATGTACAGTAATTCCTCATTTAACACTACAGATATGTTTCAAAAAATGATCGTGTTAAGTGAAAACTTGTTATGCGGGGTCCATTTTCCTATTGAAAATAATGGAAAAGATAGGGGTTGCATTTCAAGCGGTGGTGTCTGTTGGGACCAGGACATAAGGTTGGGGGAGAAAGGGAACTGGGTTACAGCAGGGAGGGGAGGTGTTTGGCTCTGGGGAAGAAAAGTGGAAGAGAGGGGAGGGGGATTGGGTTGGGAGTATGCCTCTGTGATGGGTCTGCTGGGACCTGCACTGCGTCTGGCGAGGGGGGGGTGTCACTGGGGAATGGCAAAGCGAGCGGCAAACCCTCCACCGCTTTGCAGGGAGATGGGGGAAGCCCCGTGCAGCCGCCACCAACGGGCCGGCTAGGGAAACCCAGTCGCCGGCCTGCAAGCGAGGGCGGAGGAGAGGGGGCAAGGCGTCTGGCGAGGGGGAGTCAGCGGGGAACGGCACAGCGAGCAGCGAACCCTCTGCCGCTTTGCAGGGAGGCGGGGGAAGCCCCATGCAGCTGCCTGCATCAGGCCGGCTGGGGAAATTGTGTTATTCCAGGGACAGTCGTGTAATTCAAAAAACGTTCCCTAAAAAAAAAATCGTGCTATCATGAAAACGTGTTAAGCGGGCACATGTTAAATGAGGAATTGCTGTATAAATTATTCACTCTACTTTTGGATATTAAAATTAAATAACACTAGTGCACCAGAAAAATACTAAGCTGAATCCAGAATTCTCATTCTTCATAACAGTTTAGAGTATCTGCTTACTTTGATGTAATCACCTCCCCACTATTTCCCCTTTAAAAAACAAAACAAAAAATCCAGCATCTAGGTTCTCCTTTCCAAGAGATATTTATTATCATTACCTAAATAAGAGTTCTATAATTCTGAGATAACATGTATTCTTTTGAGTTCTAAAAATAAAAAAGGAAAACATCTTATCAGGAAAATGCTGACCTCGGCACATACCTTGGCCGAAGGCCTCATGACAGTTGTGAAACATGAGCTTTTTCTCATCCAGCTAATATAGAAATTCATGTCACCATGCCACAATTCTTGTGTTTTGACAAGCAGACTTTCCAAATGGTTTATAGGCTTACTTGATTTGAATAGCAATAGATTCTCCAGTGAACTGTTGGAGCTTTACCTAGGAAATCAAGTCATGTTTTGTGTCGGAAAGATAGGGATATGGTGATTAGGCCCTTTACATCTTATGCTGAAAATTATGGAATTATCAGAAAGCTGTTTTAATGAAAAATTAAAATGAATGAGAAGTGTATTTTGACACATTACATTTACTAACTTTGGGCCCTGAAATTCTCTGATTGCAAGGATGACTGTATTGATTCATAGTCATTACAATATATGAATAAACACAAAACAGTCTAATGCAAATGTGAGCTGATTTTGATATAAAAGGAGCAAACACAATAGTTTCCATAGGCACCTAAAACTCAGGACATAAAATTACTGCAAATCGCAAATTCATAAAGATTGGTAATTGACAGGTTACTCTGTAATTTAGTTAATTACGATTTCAAACAATTTTTGAGCTAAGTTTTTTATGATAAGCCTTATTTTAGATCAATAGTGTTTTATTACTATCCTTATATTCAGGGCATGGCTAGTTTCATTATGTTAATGAAGTATCTAGAATGGACTTCAACAGCTGATGGAGGTACTATCGGGTGACACAAAAGCCTGAGATTTCAGAGACTAAACCCCTTAAAATAGTAGTTTGCATACCTGACAAGCATGCCTCATTGTTCATTACAAAAAAGCTCCTTATCTCTCATCAGCATAGCACTGTTCTCCTCATTAAAAGATAGGATTTAAAAATTGACACAAACAGTGGAGATTTTAAAAAGCAAGTATTATTTAAGCCCACATAAAACCACTCCAGTACTTTGGAGGACATTGCTCATTAATTTATAATGTTTAAATCAAATTTTGAGCCCAGATTCTAACTATTTAAGAACGAAACAAAAATGAGAAGTGCTCAGTCAGCAGTGTATCACTATTTTGCAAGACCATAATCCCTTCCCCACCCCCCAAACCAAAAAAAAAAAAAAAGATTTTTGTGTTCATTTGATCTTTGATTTCCTGCAGATGACTAAAATATCCTTGTTAGAGATGCTCAAATTCTTGCAAACATAATTAATGAAATAATGAACAACAGGGAATAAAAGCTAAGCATTGTAGATCAAGAGGCTTCCTACCTTTTTTTGGCAAGACTATTTTCCAATAAGCTTCACTTCATGTTTCCCAGAACTGTAATAGACAAATCTGTGAGACTTCAATACCAGTCATCGTCATCAACAACCATGGACTCAACGCCCGTTGGTGTCCAATCCCTCCCTCACTATTTCCTTCCATCTTTCCCTGTCCAGTGCAGAGTGGCTTAGTTTCTGTAGACTAGCTCCGCACCAATCTACTATATCATCTACCCATTTTCTGTGGGGTCTGCCTCTCCTATTTGGACCTTCCATTATGCCGAATATCAAGGTCTTAACTTTTCGCTCATTGTTCATTCTGCAGATATACCCGTATAGCTGTAACTTCCATTGCATAACCTTCTGCAGTAGGTTCTCTTTCGGCTGCATTTTCCTATAAAATTCCTCGTTGATGACCTTCTGCATCCACCCTATTCTCAGGATCTTTCTATAACAACTCCTCTCGAACACCAATATCGTTCTCTTCAAATCTTTCGTTATCACCCATGTCTCACATCCGTACAACATTCTGCTAAATACACACATTTTCAAGACGCTCAAGCTTTATTCCTAAGATAATTGCTTTACTTTTCCAGATCTTATCCATCGCCTTCAAACTCACTCTTGCTTTCGCTATTCTAGTCTCTATTTCCTTCTAATAGTGCCTTTTATTAATAGCTTCAGTAATACTGTTTCCTATTTTTACACCAGGGCATTAAATTGTTTTCCTGTGTTCACCCAGTACGTGCACCAAATTGCCCCAAATGTCAAATTTAAACAAAAATATACAAATATGAGGTTGCACTACATGAATTATGAGTGTTGAGGTTATGGTTGCGAACCCCTCCAGAATGACCATGAGTCTCCCGGAATTGGGCTTGATCTTCCAAAAGCTACTGAAGCCAATTCAGGAGATTTTAGGCAGCTAAAAGTCCAGGGCACAGAAAGAATAAGGCAAGCTCCCTACCTACCCTGGCTCTGCCCAGCTTCCGGCATGTCCAGTGCAAAGGCAGCCAGGAGGTCTCTATGAGCTGCCCCCAACTCAAATGCCAACTTTATAGGTCTCATTGGCTTGGAACCATGGCCAATGGGAGTTGCAGGGGTGATGCCGGCAGGCAGGGCACGGAGAGCCAGCTGGCCGCCCCGCGCCTAGGAGCTGGACATACCAGCCACTTTCCATGAACTGCCCAAAACCTCACCCCTTCCCACCTGTACCCTAGTCCCGAGCCCCCTTCTGCACCTAAATTCCCTTCCAGGGCTCAGACCTCTGATATACTCTCCAACCCTCTGCTCCAGCCCTGAACCCCCTCCTACACTCAAACTCTATCCCAGAGCAAGGACGCCAAATCCCCTCCTTCATCCCAACCCCTGTCCCAGGTTCAGCCTGGAGTTCCCTCCTACACTGCAAATCCTTGGTTCCACCCCATTTCCCAGTCCAGAGCCTACGCCCTAACCCTCTGCCCCAGCCCAGTGAAAGTGAATGAGGATAGGGGGCAGCAACCAATGCAGAAGGGAGATGGAAGGAGCAGTGGCAAAGCGCAGAGAAGGGGCGGGGCAAGGCAAAGGTGTTTTGGTTTGTACAACTAGACAGCTGGCAAGTCTAGCTGAGAGAGTCATTTACATTTATTTCTATATTTACATAATTACAGTACAGGCAGTCCCCGGGTTACATACAAGATAGGGACTGTAGGTTTGTTCTTAAGTTGAATCTGTATGTAAGTCGGAACTGGTGTCCAGATTCAGCCGCTGCTGAAACTGATCAGTTTCAACCGCGGCTGAATCTGGACGCCAGTTCTGACTTACATACAGATTCAACTTAAGAACAAACCTACAGTCCCTATCTTGTATGTAACCCGGGGACTGCCTGTACTGTAATTATGTAAATATAGAAATAAATGTAAATGACTCTCTCAGCTAGACTTGCCAGCTGTCTAGTTGTACAAACCAAAACACCTTTGCCTTGCCCCGCCCCTTCTCTGCGCTTTGCCACTGCTCCTTCCATCTCCCTTCTGCATTGGTTGCTGCCCCCTATCCTCATTCACTTTCACTGGGCTGGGGCAGAGGGTTAGGGCGTAGGCTCTGGACTGGGAAATGGGGTGGAACCAAGGATTTGCAGTGTAGGAGGGAACTCCAGGCTGAACCTGGGACAGGGGTTGGGATGAAGGAGGGGATTTGGCGTCCTTGCTCTGGGATAGAGTTTGAGTGTAGGAGGGGGTTCAGGGCTGGAGCAGAGGGTTGGAGAGTATATCAGAGGTCTGAGCCCTGGAAGGGAATTTAGGTGCAGAAGGGGGCTCGGGACTAGGGTACAGGTGGGAAGGGGTGAGGTTTTGGGCAGTTCATGGAAAGTGGCTGGTATGTCCAGCACCTAGGCGCGGGGCGGCCAGCTGGCTCCCCGTGCCCTGCCTGCCG